ATGCTGAGGGTGACACTTCTTCTGATTCCGATACCAATCCTGATACTGAACCCGAACCTAAATCTCAGCCTAAGAATAATAATCCTTTTGATGCCCAAATCGCAGAAATAGATTCTATGTTAGCAGAAATGCGAAGTTAGACTATGTGCCTAAGGCACTAGCTCCGCTATTAGTATCGGTTCCAGTGGAATTCCCAAATAAAACTCTTACATTGCTTGATGGAACTAGTTATGAGGTTAAGTGTAATTGAGAATATCCGGAAAATCCATAGTATATATGCCTAAAATGGGGTATACTGCAACAAAACCAGACAAAGTGAACATTGGTGTTACCAAGATTTCAGGGTTCAAAATTTAGTCATTTGTAATGTGATTATAATTATCAGTTTTATAATATCCTGATTGTTATCTTAAGTGATATATAGAACTATCCCTACTTATTTTCAATAGCATGCATGCGCTGAATTGGGATTTTATGTATTGGATATTATTAATCTTTATATTATTAAATCTAATGTCTGTCACTTTTTGTGGATCTGATTGGTCAGTTCCAAGTGTTGTGACCTTATTGTGTAATAGTTTTTTATTTATGGATAAGGTTGTACTATATACTAATTAATTTACAACAATTATGTAGAACTTTTAATAACTAATAAATATTAAATAATTTATGCTTTTGGAATGAAATTAATTGACTAAATGAAAAAAAAAAAGAAATCGTAAATAAATTCTATACTATCAATCACACACATAATGATGATAACCCACATAAATACAAATCTACATAACAATCGCATCTAAGACAGACTTAATATAAAAAAGCAAAATTTGTTCTATATCAAAAACAAAAGCATCATTTAAACAGCAAATCTAATTTATAAAAAATTTAGATAGATTTTAATATTGAATTTCATATAAATATATAAAATCCTTTTTTTACCTTGAAGTTAATTTAATCTACACAACCCATATATAAATATCTATTCTATATTATTAAATATTCTATTATATTTCTACATCATATCAGCATAGTGGACTTTTGATTTTAACACTAAATGTGACATAAAGTGATGATCATATTTATATTGTGCAACTAACAAAATTAATTGAAAAAGTACTTTAAAATACTCATTAATGTGACATAAAAATT